AATAAAATATAATACTAGCCAGACGAGGTGACATGCACCTGTAGTTCCCGCTATAGGAGGCTGAAGCAGAAGGACTGCTTAAGCCCAGGAGTCCAAGGCAACAAGGCCAGAGTGCACTACTATTGCACCTGTGAATAGCCACTGCATTCCAGCCGGGGCAACACAGCAAGACTCCCATCTCTTAAAAAAAAAATTCTCTATCAGGTCAGTTAGTCTTTAAACAAATCTTTCCTTTCTTCACAAGCAGCACTATGCTCCAATTAAAAAATCAAGTATCTCATACAGACTAAAAATCAAAATTCCTTTGTTAACAATAACTATGAAGCCATTGCCCTCAGACATTCCTCCTTCCCTCTGCTACAAGATCTAATTTAGAAAATACATCCTTCAACTTGCTGTCCAAAGTCTGTGAATCCCTAGAGATGTTACTTTTCACTGTTGAGTCATTCCTTGACAAATCATTGAGCAAGAGAATCAGATAGTTTGATAATGCATGGCAGCCTTCCATCCCATTCCAGATGGCCACTCTAGGAAAACAGCACATTCATTAATTAGTCCAAATACAGCTCTCTGTCCACTCAATACAAATACCAACCACCACGACTCAGCTTTCCTCAAAGGCCAACAGTTCTCCAGGCACCTGTGCTTCCTTTCTTTTCCTTAAGAAGTTACAGTGTCCCCGCATTTGGCATGAGTCTCCTACTGGTGATGTGACTGTGATGGTGTAAATTCTTTGCTCCTTTTTTCATGTCTTCCGAGTTAGTTTACTGATTTCCATGGACCACCTTCTCAGTATAGCACAGGGTCCAGGCGCCTCCCTCTACAGAACATACCAATTTAACCTCAGTGTGTGAAACCCTTTTCTTAAAAAATGCAGGTCCTATTGCAGCATGTTGCTTTTCTTCCTCTTCTGAGTCATTATGCTGAATTTTTTAGACTCAGATTCAGGTTTTGATTCCTTTTTCTTCCACATTACCCAGAATTCACTCTAACAAGCAGCAACACAGAAAAAATTATTCAATGATTTATCTACAAACATAGTGACAGGTCCATATTCGGTTCACATTTAATTACAAGTTATAGCACCTACTCCTAGGTTTTCAATCCTCTTAACACTGGCTGGGGCACCAGATAGAATTTTCTAATCTCCTAACAATCCTTGGTAACTTCTCTGGTTGGGGAAATGTACTTCCAGAGGGAGATGCTGGTACTGAGGTCACTCCATCTCAGATTTATCGCAATGGTTTCCAACTCCTGCAGCCACCAGATAGCATCTCAAGGCTTTTACTAGCAACCCACTAGCAATTATTACTAAAAAACAGTAGGTTCTCTATCAATGAACTACTGAATACAGAGAAAAACTACCAAGGATTTTAGATAAATCCTTTCTTCTAAAAATTAAGTATGAGCCTATCTGTTCAAAGACTTTGAATAATCATAAAATTATTCAAAGTATTCGATGTATAAATTCACTTAACTGCTATTTCCCAGTCAATTAGATTTTTATTCTTTATTACCAAAAATACTAAATGTTTTTATTTTGGAGGTGTTAAACTGCATTACGATATGCCACCAGCTTATGTGAGGAAAACACACCAAAAGAAAACATTTATTCTAATATAAGAAATTAAATATCATTGTAAGCCACAGCCAATTCCACTTGTAAAAAAACAACAAAAACACTCTTGGTCCCTTTCTCAAAAAATCACAGGTTTTATTAAACATCATCAAAATCTTTACATTAAGAACAAAGGCCAAATAAACAATAAAAAATGTTAACATATATGACTTGTGACTAGACAAACCTGCACTGGACTAAACATTTATTAAGGATGCAAAAAGACCCTATCCTAAAAATATGACTAAAATGGCTTCTAAAATATATTCAGATGTTTGGTCATTAATGCTACATGATAAAACATTTTGTCTGATTTCTTTACAAGAAAACTAGGGGGAATGGCTTTGCTGCCTTCATTGTTCACTGAAGGAATTTCAAGGTTAAAAAAATTCAAACAAAATGTATGGCAAACATCAATAATTTAAGGGCAACTGTTCAGAACCTTTGTGTGATGCATGTAAAATACCTGAGAATTTTAAAACATAAAAATTCCAGGAAGAGCTAACGTATCATCTGTGGCAAAAACTCTTAGTTAAAATGTACCCAGAGGTTCTCTACTTGTCAAAGGTTTTCTGTAAGATGTATCAGTAGAAAGGAAGACTTTCTGACCGTTAATATGCAATAGGACCGACTAAGAGAAAGCTCAGTGAGAAGAGTCAAGGGAGTTTCAAATTACTAGCACTGAAGGCTTCACCATGGAGCCCATGGCTTGCAGAGTCAGTGCTTTATTAATTCCCATATTCATAAAAAGAGTTACCACTTCAAAACAATTACAGAACAAGGAAAGGTGTAAATAAATGCAATGAAAATATTCATTGCAAAAATACTTATTTTGAGCCAAAAGTCAACTACACTAGTTTACTTTTGGTATCTTCCCCTAAACTTTACTGTAGGGTTTTTTTGTTTTTGTTTTTGTTTTTTGGTATTTAAAGTTTGAACTAGGTTGCTCCCGTGTCATGAATGAGTTGATGAACACCTCCAAATTTCCATATGTTGATGTTTTAAGCCCAATGCAGGTAACAATTTACTTTCACAACCCCAAGAATATTCACTGATGGTGAAATAATATTTAATATGTCAAAATAAACAGATACTTCAACTGTTCATCTCACCTTGAGAGCTACAGAATGCCTTCAGGATAATTTGATTTTGGTGTGTAAGGAACTATTTCACCAAAGCACAAGGTTTTTTGGTTTTAATAGTTCACTCTCAGCCCCCATGTTGCCACTGTGTAAGATTTCTTTCTCTTCCACTTCTATGGACTTCTCAGGTAGCCTGCTGGCTCATTTTCATTTATTTATATGCAGACATATTTCTTTTCAAACCATAAAGCAATTCCTTCTGTATTCAGTATATGAACTTATAGGCAACAATTCACATTTTTTTAATCAAGTCATTTACATATGAGGGTAATTTTATCAAAATCTGAAAAAGACTTCCATTCGGAGGACCAGAGAATGGAAGCATGGCTTCTAAACAGATGGCAGTTCTCTCTGGAAGAGTGAGAGTTCTACAGAGGGAGGAATGATTATTAGATCATAAAGCATTCACCTTCGCAGGGGTTTAATCAGGATCCCTTTTCTTCCACCAGTTAGGCAAGGAAACTGACTGAGTCCTTTTACCTACCAACCTCGAAACAGAATATAGCATATCACACAGCAAGAGACAAGATCACTTACTCCTCCAGCTGTTTCTCATCTAGCTGAGGGTAGAGGAAGACATTTGTGATATAGCTGAAGAATACAAAACTGTACTGCAACAGATAATTCAGCACTCTTGTTTGCTTTACAAAAAGAAAAAAAAAAGGCTCAAAGCTTCAGAAAAAGAAAAAGATACTGTATTCAGTGGCCTTAGGGACTGCTACAGGAGGTGGGGGAGAAATCAAGTAAAACAGGATACTCTCTCCACTCCCATCTCCCACTAGTCAATCAGGCAGTTACTCTTTATCTTTTTACAAATAATGGCTCTAAAAGGGTTTTGTATGAAAAAAAATACTTTGAAGTTAACCAAAAACACAAGTTCAAAAGTACTAACTAGAAGGTCTGGAAGGTACCGTCTAGTTCTTAATGCTCAACAATTTTATGATCTCTTAGATAATCAACTCTGATTTATCACTGAGATCATCAAATGTGGAGCAAACTGTCTAGGATTCTGCTCACTGTTCTGATGATGTCTACCTTAGGATGACATTACGTTGGTTTTGGGGAAACACTGACAAATAGAAAAATCGGGTGATACAGCTTCAAATGGCCCTGAGAGAGAATCAATGGAAGTAAAATATTCATCTAAAAGTACTGACAGTCATAAGATATTTGTCAATTGGTAAAATAACTGTGGACCTGATGAAAACAGCTGGTTACCACTGTAGATGATTACCCTGAAAATATCTGGCAATATTACACCAATAGCAGTTCATCTTAATGCAAAAATAGTTAGCTTTGGATATCACTTAGTAAATTGTGTAGCAATACTTTTAAACTCTGCTAGTCAATATAATAATTAAATGCCAAACTGATTTTTTTAAAAATTCATTATGATGAAATGAACACTAAGAGGAAGCTAAGAGTAAGCTGCTTGAACTTACAGTAACACATGCTACCATCGAAACAAATAAATGGAAGCCTGGAGGTATTCTTCCAAAAGGATGAATACAGCAAACTGCATTACCTGACCGTAGCCTGTGTACTCATTTCCTTTACTGTAATTCTCATGGACTTCATCCAATATCAATTGTGACAAAAGAATCAAGTGAAAAAACAGAATGTGCTGGTTTGGGGGATCTTTAATCACATATAAATTCCACCCATAGGAAAAACAAAAATGCTTATTAGTCAGTCAGTTACATATGGCAGAAATGTTATTCTATTGAGTTCACCCAAAGAAAATATATTATCATTTGGTTCAAATATGAAGTATACACTGATTCTGTTCATTAATGCCTTCAGTTCTCTGCAATATAAATTGCAACATAAATTTGAGTCATCGGTCTAGAAAACATACACTTCAGGAGTCTGCTTGTAGGGCTGCTGGATTATCTCTTTTGTACAAGCACCTATACATATGCTGCAAACAGGCAGATGCATGAGCAGATGCATGAGGACAGACTTACCTTCATCCAAAGAGAAGAGACTGAACTGAACACTACTAAGTAAGCTTCTCCCCGCCCCAGTACCTACAAGCACAACATACACACACATACCAGCGTCAAAACAGACAATGAAAACAAAATCCAAATAATAGAAAACAATTTATAGTTGGTATTCCATTTAGCCTCAAGGTAGTATTTTCTACAGAACATTCTCAATTAAGAAACCCTCAGTACCAGATTTGTGTTAAAGGAAGAAAAGTATGGGCATAACTGTGTACTCAGAAGTGTCCCCACCTGACAGACATCAGAACGGATGCCAGTTTTCCAGAATCCTTGGCTACTTAGCTCCACTGTTACTTCTCGTCTCATTGTGTTCTTCTGCCGTATTTTTTGGAGTGCTTCCTAGAAAACAATTCATTATGAGTAACACAACTGCTATATAGCAATAGTAAGCCAAACATCAAGCATTAGAAAATAAGTTGGATTCATTTACTACTACCCTTACATTCAGATACTCAAACCTCTTCATACAAAATTACAGTATTTTCTTTAAAATGGAGGCTAGAATGCTCAGAGCTTGGGGTATAACGCAGCCCAGATTTCTTGGCAACTAGATAAGAAAAAATCTAAACCAAATCTACCATTCTGGTATTTTTGAAAAAAATATGCCCTTTCATTGATAAAGGAAGCAAAATATGGTTTGGGATTTGAAATCAGCATGTAAAATTTTTATCATGCCTCATGTTAAGTATTTACATCTAAGAAAGACAATCAGTAAATTCTTTTTTTTTGAGACAAAGTCTGGCTCTCTCGCCCAGGCTGGAGTGCAGTGGCGCGATCTCAGCTCACTGCAACCTCCACCTCCCAGGTTCACGCCATTCTCCTGCCTCAGCCTCCCGAGTAGCTGGGACTACAGGCGCCCGGCACCACGCCCAGCTAATTTTTTGTATTTTTAGTAGAGACGGGGTTTCACCGTGTTCGCCAGGATGGTCTCGATCTCCTGACCTCGTGATCTGCCCACCTCGGCCTCCCAAAGTGCTGGGATTACAGGCATGAGCCACCGCGCCCGGCCACACAATCAGCAAATTAACCTGAAACCCACATAATTCTAACAGTTGCCTTCTAACTTGCAAATCCCTTATAAAAACCCTTGCTGTAAGGGCATATTTTATATAAAAAAAGACTACGATCCAAAATGTCACCTGTGAGACATGATCAGGAACTAACTCTTCCCTTTCACGGTCCTTCGAATAATTGTAAAAATAATTGTATATTTGTATGCATGTAATTGAATCAAAATCTCATAGGAATTCATAACAACAGGAACCACCCCCTACCCCCACTATTGATTAAGTTCCTTTTACAGGTCAAATACCACAAGAGGCCCGTTAAACGGCGTATTTCAGAAGTTCGTGGAACTACCTTTTTTGTTGAGTGCACCAAAGGAGGAACATTTCAGTCAGCCTCTCAACCTTAGTTCCCTCCTTTATAAACAGGCTGACTGGCTTAAATCACAGTAAGTGACAAAGCCAGAATTCAAACACTTTTTCCACCTTCAAAGCTTTGCTCTTACACAACCCCAGCAGAACAAAACTTCTGAGACAAAAATCTATGTTGATACTGAAACCATTTTTTCTTGTAATTAAAACTAAAACATAAGTTATCCTGGATTACAGGGATACTACTACCCATTAGTAAGGAAATATGGAATTTGGGATATGAAACCTTACAAAATAAGTTTACCATGCTAAACTGGCAGACCAATGGAAGACAATCTTTTCCAACTTTAAGACCAAGAAATCTGAGTAAGGCCCAATGTTGTATAATGTGCAACCAAATTAAAGATAAAAGGCTGATTCATCAAATTTAAGCTTTAATATCTATAAAAGATATGTTTGATTCCCAATGGTAATAATCCATTAAGAAACTGGCATTTTAGGAGCTGATATAGATAGGATGTTTTGGCACCTCCAAATTTCACATTGAAATATGATACCTAATGTGAGAGATGGGACCTGGTGGGAGGTTTTTGCATCATGGGTGGATCCCTCATGAATAGCTTGGTGCCTTCCCCATGGTAATGAGTTATGTGAGATCTGCTTGTTAAAGAGAGTCTGGGACCTCCCTCCTCCCTCTCTTGCTCCCTCTTCTGTCATATGATGTGCCTGCTCCCCATCCACCTTCTACCATGACTAAAAGCATCCTGAGGACAACCCAGAAGCCAAGCAGATGCTGGTGCCACACTTCTTGCACAGCCTGCAGAAACGTGCACCAAATAAACCTCTTTTCTTTATAAATTACCGAGTCTCAGGTATTCCTTTAGAGGAATGCAAAACAGACTAATACAGGGATAAAAAGGCTCCCTTAAATACTAAAAGATTTCTTTAAATCAATTGGTATAATAATGTGGGGAGGAGGGTAAAGCATAATTTTTTTTTTAAACATATTTTTCCATCTTGTACCAGAAGTACAGTGTGATACAACAATCGTGAAATACACCTGAACCACATCATCATTAATCACCTAGGAATGGAGTTTGATACAGACCTCCCTCTGTGCCAGCTTCTGTTTATCAGTTTGTTTGACTTTGGGACTATTTGCTAGGAGGTGGCGAAGTTTCACATAACTCTTCCACAGTTTTTGGTACCTAAGGAAAAGGACAGGCAAACATCTCAGGTAAACAGAAGGTAAATCTAAAGTGCAACAAACTCGGTTATTTTAAGAGGCCTCTTCAAATCATACATTACATTCTTTTGATTATTCTTAATGGCAGAAAGCTGTCATTCTAAGGAAGGTTATGACTTTGAGGTTGAGAGTCGGGATGGACAAAAGTCAACTGGAACCTGGTGATTAAGTTGATTATTGCTTATTTTGGTTGGAAATGAGGTGTGACTATATGAATGAATCTCTGGAAAGAATTCCAAAGACACAAAAACACCTCAACCAATGGAATCATCCTGTTTCTCACTGTTACCTCTTGAAAATAACAGATTTTATTTAAATATATACTTTCTGATATTTATTGACAGACCCCTGCTTTAATAGGGAACCTGTCAGTTGCTGAACTACTTATACCAAATATAAGAGTTGAAGAGTATTAGAATAGAGAACTCCATTTGTGCCAAAACCCAAGCTACATAGCTATATCCATTTTTCTACTGGAAAGGGTAAAAGACTAATGGTGTATACCAATTTGTATTTACCATGACAATATAAGCATATTTATTGTAGCCAAATAAGTTATAACCTAGACCAGTGTAAAGGATACTGTCAAAGCGTCCTGGAAATGAAGCGAATATGCAGTCCTTTATCAATTCACAGTCCTGCCATCTGAGAGTCCACGAGAGCCTCATCACATTCTACTAACATTTTTCTAACAAGAAGGGATTTTCCAAAGATTTTCTGTCGTATTAAAACTGCTCCTTTCTTGGCCTTAGCTGGGCCTCTCCTTTTTTGAAAACTTTTTTTTTTTTTTTTTTAAAAGAATGGAGGAAAGAAAGAAGTACTTACACAGTGCCTGGTTCACTGCTTCATACTTTTATCCAAAGGGGGAAAAAAAAGAACAAAACCCTTTAGCCTCTTCTAATATATGTCAGCCAGAACTGTATTTATGAATTGAAAATCTCCCATGCCCTTTTCTCCCACTATGAATCCTTTTTTTAAAAAAAAAAATTAAGTCAGGAAGCTGTTTGTGTATTTAGCAAGGTAGGAAATCCAAACAGTCCCAAAGAATCTAATGGTAATATCTCCATTCCCACACATCCTGAATCTTCTCCCAGACAACACTAACATGCCAGTTGGAAAAATCAAAATGTGGAAAGTTACATCAATTCTAAGAGTCAGAAGTCACGGCTCCTACTTCCAACACAACCTTGACTTTGCATGTGATCTTGAACTCTTAAGATGCCCCCAAAAAGAGAACTCTGCATAAATTCGGCAGTGCTAGGAACCAATATGTGCTACTTTCCTCTAGAGGGCACTGAAAAAATAAAAAATAATAATTATTATTATAAGGATGAATAAAGAAAAAGTTCCTTAAAGTTTAAAAACATACAAGGACTTATGTTGATCAAGTTTGCCAAAAATATTCTGTTGAATAATAGTTTCTTGCACTCAAATATGTAGAGAAAATAATTCTTCAGGAGCTACCAAAATTGTTTCATTTGGGTAATCTAAACTGGAAGCATGGCTCATTTCAGGTCTTAATTTTTGAAAAGGAAACATCCACTACAGGGTATTTCTCTGCTAATTCAGCTGTTAGTAGAAGGTGAAATTGGCTAAGACAAACACTGAGAAATATCTTACTGTGGGTCTCCTGCATAACTCAACTGTGCAGGGCGTATCCCAAAGTGGACGATAATCGGAAAAGTAATCACATCAGGGTTGAACTGTTCACGATCCAGTTGATCGATACGGACAGAGCTTGGTTTCTAGAGAGAAAAATCAAAACCATTTATTCCCATAAGAAGTCTTTATGTATTGACTTTAACCTAAGTAGGGAAGGAATAAATTGGACTTTTTTCTAGGAAAGCCTTGTCCCCAAAGGGAAAAGGTCATTTAAAACCCTTTAATTACAGCAGCTCTACTATCTAAAAACTATAATGTCATCCCTGTAAATGAGCCTATGCCATTTGGCATAATGAACAATGATTTTGTCCTTTTTTGCAGTCCACATAGAAACCTTTAAAAATTAAACTTTTAAAAGGACACCTAGTCAGATATAAGTTTTCCTTAACCTCTCCGAAGGCACAGGGGAAGGATTCCACATCACAGGCAGAGCCTGTTCTGCTTTCATTTCACATTTCAGGATTGCCTCTATTTAAGTTTTTCCCCCCACTTTTTCTCAGTGGATCTTATGTATTCCTTTAATTCTACATCTTTAAGTTAGATAGTACAGTGGTGCAAAGGCCAAATAGTTAAGCTTCTCTTATTATGTCCATGTAGGACATTTGTGTATTTTAACAGAGAGCCTCAAATTTTTTTCTTCATGTCTAATAAAGGAAGAAGTGAATGGCTCATTCCTTCTGGATCATTTGTGAAATGGCTTTCATCTTGAAAGCTTAAATTTATGAAAAGATGGTAAAATCACAGAGAATAGGTTTCAGCAACCTCCTTATAATCATCTCTCAGGACAGTCTCAATTAGAGACTCAATTTTTACTAGCACACCGTCGAGTCTGTGGCTCAGTTGCTTTGGAGGCTGAGGCTGTAAAACTGATTCACACAGAGGCCAATAATCTTCATTCTGTCCCACAACAATGCCCAACAACTAGAGTCTGGGTGGCTGCCTGGTTTCTCTGGGACAGAGGAATTTCAATGCTAAAATCAGGAAATCTCTCAGCAACTGGGACAAGCTGGTCACTCTACCTGCAACTGTGACACCAGCCAGCCATCTGACAAATATTCAACAAGGTGACAAAGGGGATAAACTTGGGTGAATTCATCCACATTACTTAAAACACTCAAACCTTTGGGAGGCCAAGGCAGGTGGATCATGAGGTCAGGAGTTCAAGACCAGCCTGGCCAACACAGTGAAACCCTGTCTCTACTAAAAATACAAAAATTAGTCGGGCATAGTGGCGCACACCTGTAATCCCAGCTACTCAGGAGGCTGAGGCAGGAGAAGCACTTGAACCCAGGAGGCAGAGGTTGAGGTTGTGGTGAGCTGCGATTGCGCCACTGCACTCCAGCCTGGGCAACAGAGTGAGACTCTGTCTCAAAAAAAAAAAAAAACCTTAAACTTTTTAAGTGTCATTTAATAATCAAAATTTCACTAGCTTCTTGAAAGTTGGTCTCTGCTCTCAAAATTTGAAAATCGAAAATATTTTATTCACATGTAACCTAATATAAAATTAATTAAATGCCCATCAACAGTAGCAATGTGCTAGGTCAAAGAATTGCTTTCATTATTTTGTACAACAAAACAGCAGGATACATTTTTAGAAGGGGAACTGTGGAATAGAATGCTATTGAATTATTCATGTTTCTGTGATTTTAAACACCATGCCATGGTACCAACAGAGGAAACAGTGATTTAAAATATGTATAGTATCTCTAAATTTATGGCAGGGGTTGGGGGAGCAGGAAATGAAATATATTCTAGACTTTGGCCATACCCTATAACATTTATTATACCATCTTTGTGTAAGAATAAAAAACATTCTCACTAATGACAAAAGTATTCCTTGGAAGATTAATTATTTTAAGTTCTGTAGCAATAAAGTATTTAGTGTGACCATAATGGCTTGAAAAATTTAATAAATTTTCCAATGTTCTTGCCATTAAGCAATCTTTCAAAGCAAGTCCTACAGAGGATGAAACGTAGTGTGGTGTCTCCCTTGTCGTATGAGTAACTTGCATACTTCTCAGTAGGATATTTTCATAATACTGAGTTCTCAGATTTTTTTTTTTCCTCCTTTAAGCATATCTTTAGATAAATACTATAAAATAATTAACTTCAACACATTCCTAAGCCTGACACCAAAACTTCCAATATAAATCTTTCATACTGACTAGGTCTGACTTCATGTTTTTAATACTGGCTTTACAGCATCTCAAGTATTAACGGTTAATCATGCCAATAATTTCTACAATTTCTCAATTCCTCAGAGATCTTACTGTTTAGGAAGCACCCGCGGCAAGCCTATCCCAGTGATCTCTCCTAAAATGAGAGTCTTTCCTGATGGGTCCATAGGCTCAACCACTCATCAAAGACTCCCTTCATATGTTAGTGGTCTTTGGGTTTTCACCTGGGCAAGCATCATACATTAGTTTGATGCAAAAGTAGTTGCGGTTTCTCCCATTACTTGTAATATACCTTCAGGTATATATACCTTAGGTATATAACAACCTAATATATAACGTCCCTAGCACCTGGCTCATATAATAGACCCTCAACAAATTAGTTGAATGATGATCATGGTGATCATAAACTTCATCTAGGTCACTGGCTCAAAAACAAGCGACGAGAAAATCAAACTGTTTGAGGATTTTTTTTTAACTACAGAAAACTAGACCTCACTGCCTGGAGCATATAGGGTAGGTATATCCTTAAGCCAGGGTATCCTTAAGTTTTTTTTTAAACTCTCCAGCTGATTCTAGATTTCAGGAAAACGTAACTATACCATGGAAGGAAGCCCAGGGTGAACGTGCTCCCGCAGTGTCTACCACAGAACATGGAACTCTCTAAGTGGAATCACCCAGCTGAAACTGGACATCTCCCACCACCATCACCCCATCCTCTGACTCAGCATGAAAAATGACAGAGGGAATATCAATATATACAACTGTTTTAAGAATAAAAATAGAATTCACAGTCTTACTCTGAGAATGTTATTACTTCCATATTTCTTTTAAAGTTAATAATTATGTAGCTTAACAGTATAACAGTAAAAATTATATGAATTTTTGGTTTTAAACAAGTTTTATGTTTAAACATATTTTTATTAAACAACTTTACTTTCTGGATTTGTTTAAAAGAATCCATACTAGCCAGAATGTTTTATTTGCAAATAGCAACATTTTGTTTGTGCAGATGTTACTGTCATGCTACAAAAAGTTGATCCAAGAGTTTTTAGTTTATGAATCAAAGCTATTAAGCAATTGGCAGCTTTTTAGAAAACAACAGCTTTGTTAAATAGATTATTCCATTTATTTTCATGGAAAATTTTAATTCTCCATTTCTATAAAATTTTATCCTTATGCCAATATGTAACTATTTTATGAAACAGTAACACTATTTTAGAAGGAAAAAAATTGTCTCATATAAAGAAAATGTTATGTCTTTATATAAGAACTAGTTTTCTTTTCATTATCTCCTTTTAATATTTACATTTTTTACTTCTAAAATTGAACATTAAAAGTTAATTTTAAAACAAAAAAATTAGCACCCAAAGAAATGGAAAATATTTATAATAATTATGGTGAAGGATCAATAAAAAAGAATACTACAAAAAGGTTCAGACAAAGGATATTAATAGGCAAGTATCAAAAGAAAACATGAATGGACAATAAACATTTAGAAATCAAAATAAATACAAAACTGAACTAAGTAGTTTCCCGCCCCACCCCACCCCCATCAAATCCCCTTAGTATAACCAGCATGAAGATATGGTTGCTCTCATACGCTCCCAGAATACAAATTTTACAGCCCTTCTGGAAAGCAATCTGCAACATGCATCAAAAGCCTTAAAAATGTACCTATCTTCAGATAGAATAAATTTACTAAATTAGGTGAATTTAGTAATTATAAAAAATTTTGTAATTTTTTATTAATTTATAATAAAATTTTTATAAATTTTTATTATAATTTATAATAACCACATTACTGTTCTATGGCCACTATATACACAGGCATGCATTCACTCATTCATCCAAATATTCATTCATGCAACAAATATTTATTGAGTGCCTTTTATGTAACAGCCACTGTTCTAGGACCTGAGAACACAGCAATGATGGAAACAGCCAAAGCCTTGCCTTTCTGAAGCTTATAATGCAGTAGAATTATAAAAAATTTAGTAATTCACCTAATTTAGTAATATTTTCTTATTTATGTTTATAGAAAAAATTATCCAAGGACAAGAAGCAGTGAGTACCTAAAACTTTTAAAATGTGCCGTTACTGTTTTCATGAAACATTCAGATCTGGAAAAGAAGGTACTCCAGCCTCTGAATATACAGATACCAGAACATACCGTCCCAGGGTTGGTAACAATCATGCCTTTGCATTCTTCTGCATATTTCTGCCACTCCAGCTCCTCCCACTGAAGCATATTGGCAATCTCCTCCTCGGGCACCAGGGCTTTGCTGCACCTTAACAAGTACAGGAGAATCTGGTGCATGGACAGCACTTCCTTTCCTCCATCTTGGGTGGGAGTGGACAGAAGGGGAAAAATAAGGCTACTCAACTTACAGCAAATCAACAACTGAATAAGGAAAAAACAAGACAACGGAGGAAAAAGAGCACGTACAAAAAGGTAATGTAAAATTTACACTGTTTAACCAGGTGCCAAATAATATGAAAGCCATTTGTTTCACTGATGAACTGTGCTCATAAAGCATCTCATTTACTAAATTGGCAACAACAACATTATAAATGATAAAAGGCTCCATTTGTGAGGTATGAATATAAAAAAGGTGCCTATCTAAATAAATTTAAAACCACCTAACATAAAGAACCATAGTTTATAATATACAGAACCATGTTATGTCTTAAATATTTTATCATTCTTTCTGAGGTAACAGATGAAAGCTCTTTAGAAGTGATGTTACCATCTTAAGGAAATTCTAAGCTTTTGTGAGATATTTATGAATGTCTTCAATAAGCTATTGTTGCATTATGGTCTAATTTTTTGGTGCTAATGTGCTGCACCTGCCATGATGAACAGAGCCTGTGCTAATATCATGGAAGATCATTATGGGGTTAGTACATGGAAAAAATACCAAGTGTTCTGAGGCCTACAGAAGCATATAGCACCAAGTACAGGGGATAAAAATAACAAAGGGCATCATTCAAGTACCTTGGAAAAAGCCAATTAATCTAGTACTTAATGAACCAAAGACATCCACTTCATTTGGGCATTAATGTGGGGTCAGAGGCTTCCGCCTTCTCTTTGGACTTAACTTCTGGACCAACATGGGCAACCATTTGATACCTCTTTTCTTTGCCTACTCCCACCCAAACAAAGGACAAGAGCCCTGAAGAGGACAATCGTTACCCTCTCCCAGGTCATGAGATATGCTATTAACAGTAGTACAGGACCAAACACTTCAGGGAAAAAGAAAGGGACCAAGAACACAAGATGGCAGCAAAGGAATGGCACAAAAGACAGTGTCCTCCTTGGTCAGAGGAATTAGTGTACCCAGTTCGAGTCTGAGGCACTAAACAATTTTAATGCGAATTGCTGTGGGCTAAGAACTTAAACAAGACTGCACGTCTGAGAGAAAAGAGAGTAGGTATCAACATCTCTATGTCAGCTGTGTTCCTCCAACTGAGATGTTACCCTGGAACTAGACCACATTGTTGTTCTACGGCCACTATATATGTAGGCATGCATTCACTCATTCATCCAAATACTCATTCATTCAACAAATATTTATTGAGTGACTTTTACGTAACAGCCACTGTTCTAGGCCCTGAGAACACAGGAATGATGAAAACAGTCAAAGCCTTGCCTTCCTGAAGCTTACACTGCAGTAGAAAGAGACAATAAAAAAGAGCTACATAAAAGATCGGGTTGAGATGAGTGCTACAAAGAAGAATCAAACAGGGCAAGGAACTAGAGTTGTATCTAAAAGGATGGTTAGGAAAGGAATCTTCTGAGAGGTTTCATGTAGGCAAAACTTGAAAGGAGCAAGGGAAGCTACCATGCAACAGTCTGGAAGAGGAGAAGAAAGAGCAAATGCCCTAAGGTGGAGTGGAACTGTTGTGCCCAGAAACTGCTAAGAAGCCATGTGGATGATGTGAAGTGAGAAGAATGTGAGAGAGGCAGCAGGGAAGTCAGATCTTACAAAGCTTTACAGCTCATTGAGAGCTCTGGAGTTGACTCTGAGATGGGAGCATGTTTTTCACCATATGTGCCAGGCACTGAGTGGTCCCATGTCAGCACCATTAGGGAAAAAAATGCCACAAGCTCTAGGCGCTCAAGAAGCATATAGGCTAATAATGATAGATCACAATGGTTCCTAAAGGAATCTTTGTAGATAACACTCGGAAAATAAAGTTCTCTCAATCAAAGTTCTAAAGACACTGTGCTTCTAAAAATATAAAATAATTGTCCAAGAAATGACAAAGTCACAAAATACATCAACCCACATTACGATATGTTCTATCTACTAATTCACAGCAGTGACATTTTTTTATGCCTCATTACAAAGCAACCGCCTTAAACACAAAAGTCATCATTAATAAGCAAACTTGCATAGTGTTATGGACTCAATGTTTGTGTTTCCCCAAATTTCATATATTAAAATCCTTTTTTTTCTTTCTTTTTGATTCAGGGTCTCTGTCACGCAGGCTGGAGTTCAGTGACGCAATCACGGCTCATCACAGCCTCAACCTCCTGGGCTCAGGCGATCCTCCCATCTCAGCATCCCACGTAGCTGGAACCCCACCATACCTGGCTACTTTTAAAATTTTTTTGTAGAGACAGGGTCTAATTATGATGCCCAGGCTGTTCTCCAACTCCTGGGATCAAATGACCCTCCCACCTCAGCCTCCCAAGGTGCTGGGATTACGGTGTGAGCCACGGCACCCAGCCATATATTAAAATCTTAACCCCCAGTATAATGATATTAGGAGGTGGGGCCTTTGGAGGTAATTAGGTCATGAGGGTAAGGCCCTCATAAATGGGATTAGAGACCTTATAAGAAGGAACATGAAAGAGCTTGCTTCCTCTCTCTTTTATCCACCAGGTGAGGATATGAGAAGATGGCTGGCTGTGAAGCAGTAATAGGACCTTTACCAACAACCCAACCACAATGACACCCTGATCTCAGACTACCAGCCTCCAGGGCTGTGAGAAATAAGTGTTTGTTGTCTAAGCCACCAGCCTATAGTGTTTTTGTTAGTATAGTTCAAACGAAGAAACATGGATAGGGACATATTTCTCTGAGTCTGTCTCAAAACACATTTCCAGCTGGGCATGGTGGCTCATGCCTGTAATCCCAGCACTTCGGGAGGCTGAGGCAAGCAGACTGCCCTAAGCTCAGGAGTTCAAGGTCAGCCTGGGCAACACGGCAAAACCTCTCTCTACAAAAAATACAAAAATTAGCCAGCATGGTGGCAAGGGCCGGTGGTCCCATCTGTTCAGTAGGCTGAGGTGGGAAGATCACCTGAGCCCTGAAGGTTGAGACTGCAGTGAGCCGTGACTGTGCCACTTCACTCCAACCTGGAGAACAAAGTAAGATCCTGTCTCAAAACATAAAATAAAATAATACAAACATATTCCAATCCACCTGCATGTGACATGTGTTCCTCAATCAGTAATGTTCCTCTCTTTGCTAAGGAGCCCAGCAAACCCCTAATACCCGTCTCTCAGTCTGAGTCCATGATAATCGCTAATCTTCTAAGGGGACTGAGGTGAACAGGTGGATGAGAAAATTCTAATGCCAGAATGCGTTGCCTATACACTTCACGTGCATACACACCGAACAGCAGGAATAAAAGAAACCTAGAGAACCTTGGAAAGAATCACCACACTAACTAGGTTCACAAGGAACTAAGGAAAGAGGAAAATAGTTTTTGGCTTATAATGCCTATACTTGGTGACATTACTTAAGAGTACCAGGGACTTTAAGGACACAATAGGGGTCTAAAATACCGTAAGAAGGAGCAGAATGTTGCTTTGTGTAAGGATTAGAAAAAAGATTCATATTTTCATGGGGGGAGAGGAGCATGATGGAGGGAGTAAATATACACAGGTCCAGGTATATAAAACAGCACTAGAATCTCCACGCATGCATTTACAGTTGCCTGACTCCATGGCACTTCAGATAAAAGGGAAATGGACTGGGGACAGCAAATTTAATGTGAAAAGACTTTTAAAAGAGCTAGTGGGAGAGAGGAATACTTAAGACTACAAACCAAGACTCCCTTAAAGGCTTCAATTCTGTAGAAAATGATTAGCATAGATACTGTCCAATTTAGGAAAGGCATAACTAGATTAAGAAATAAGGCCATTGGCTGGGTGGGGTGGCTCACGCCTGTAATCTCAGCACTTTGGGAGGCCAAGGTGGGTGGATCACCTAAGGTCAGGAGTTCAAGAGCAGCCTGGCCAACATGGCAAAACCCTGTCTCTACTAAAAATACAAAAATCAGCCGGTCATGGTGGCGGACTCCTGTAATCCCAGCTACCCAGGAGGCTGAGGCAGGAGAATCGCTTGAACCTGGGAGGCAGAGGTTGCTGTAAGCCGAGACTGTGCCACTGCACTCCAGCCTGGGTGACAGAGTGAGACTCCCTATCAAAAAAAGAAAGAAAGAAAGAAGATCACAAGGTGCTTATATGAATGCCAGTTATCCATCTTCTTATTTAGGTGCAACGCTAATGATGAGGCAGGAGTGAGTCACATAGCAGCATAGAAACTAGACATAATTAAAAATACGCACATACACACATCAGGTGCAAAGTTAACAACACTGAAGGAGAAACCACAAATCCATGTTGAAATCTGCTAAATATTTTAAATGGCAACTAAGCCTTAAAAGAGATTTTATTTACCACTGTAAAAAAGTAGAAACTCAGGGCAGATAACCTGAGGTGAAAGGTATCTCAAGGAAGGGGGACTGAGACTCTGCTCCCTGTCTGGTTTTGGGGTTCAATTTCCATGGAAAAGTAGGAGGAGATCCATAAATTAGAGACTCCTGCCAGAGCCCGCAGGGCATGAGCTGTATCTCTCACACTCAGCCTGGCAAAAAGACACTCCATAAACATTTGTGGAATGACTTTCTAAAGCAGACTAATAACTTGGCCACTTGCACTCAGGCTGCCATGAATTCACTAATGTTAATGAATTGGCTCTTTTGGTTTGTCTGCTTTGCCACTTGTTTATGTTGGGGATTTATGGAGCCATGTCACTGAGGGCTAGGAAGTAATTTTTATCTTGTTGGCTGAAATAAATAGGACATGATATAAATGAGAAATGAGAGCGGGTAAGCTAAGGTTAGCAGGAATTCCGCCAACTCTGGGACTGGAACCGTGACAACAGCTCATTATTCGGGAAGAACTGGAGTTTGTGTTTCAGGGAATGAATCTGGACAGTCATTAATGAACTGACAGACTTTATAAACTGTTTCTTAGAGACCCAATTCTCTCAGTTTATATTGCTTGATTATTTATATGGTTATTTGGGGAGGGGGATAATTTG